CGGGATCCCTGCCCGCGCCTGCGCCGCCTAATGCGAGTCTTATCCCCATACTCCATGCCATTTCAACAATAATTGAATACTCTAAATCTCGTGCCGACCACTTTCTGACTTCTCCTGCTGTGGTGACTGTATTTCCTCGAAATATACAGAACCTGTCTCTGGGTGAACCCAAGAGAGGACCATGGGGCCAACCTATCGGCCTCGTCATACCCAAACAAAACTCTTCGAATCCCATTGACTCGCTCTTGCCAACCGTCCCATTTCCGCAACCTACAGGCTCAACGAGTTTCCCGCCCTTGGGATCTCATGCCTCCTTTGATAAACCTAGTCAATTTTTCAGTCCTCTCTCAGCATATAGCGAATCGGCATTGCCCTCTGATGAACACGAATGTGCCATAGTATCATGGCTAATATCCATTGCAAGAGCAGAATCCGGTATGGTTAGACTTATGGCCATCAGATTAGCGGCCATCTTATTTCGACTTGGGCTCGCGAAAAAAAATCGCGTCACCATGTTTGGATATTTACTTGTGCCGCTCCTCGTTCAAATGTTAGAAAAAGACTACACTGCTCCGGAAGATTTCGATCCACACGAAACAGACACAGTCTCACATACATCAAGGGTAATGGAAGAAGCACCCGCTGTGCTAGCTACTTTGATTATGGACAGCCGGGAGCTTCAAAGGCACGCAGCTGACGGCGGCGCCATCAAAAAACTTTCGCAGATGCTCAAGGATTCGTTCATTACGGCTGAAGGCTCTGGGAAATCTCTATGGAGTCCCGTGCCAAATGGCCATTCCCAGAAAAGCCTCCAACCGGAGATGCTTCCCGGTCCCCCCGGGGTTTCTCCTTTAGTACTCCACAAAGTCAGAGTTCGCGAAGGCGTTCTTAAAGCGCTTGCTGCACTTTCGCTCTTCAGGGAAGACTACCGAAAGGCCATCTGTGACAATGGAGTTGTACCGTTTGTAATTGACGCTTTAACGCCACACGAACCGGAGTCAATTAAGAGCAACGGGGAATCAAAGTCGACAGCCGTTGAAGGGAATCCCATTCCCACCCTTCTCGCTGCCTGTGCTGCTGCCCGGTCATTAACCCGCTCTGTCAGTGTCCTACGCACGAACCTGATCGATGCGGGTGTTGCAAACCCCATATTTAAATTGGTCAAATCTCGTGATGTCGAAGTCCAGATTGCAGCCACTTCTGTGATTTGCAATCTAGCTATGGATTTCAGCCCTATGAAAGAAGTAAGTGGTAGGAAGATTTACTTTTGTTATGCCTCCAGATAGCTAACTCAGCATCAAGGCAATCATTTCGGCAAACATGATCCCCACACTCTGCGAACACTCTCACTCCGAAAACACGAAACTCCGGTTGGAATCAATATGGGCGTTGAAGCATATTGCATATAACTCCACCAACGATGTGAAAATGAAGATTGTCGAAGCTCTTGAACCTACTTGGCTCAAGCGTGTCATATGCGAGGATCCCGCGGATCCATCCATTCGCCGAAAGGTCGAGGAGGATATCGCTGGAATGACGAGTAATGAAATGGAGGTAACTCCGTCCTACGGAGAACGAACTGACCTTCAAAGTCTTGTGCAAAGTTACAACAGCAAAGACTCAGAACCGCAAAGCCCTGACCTTCGAATGACTGATACAATCATGCCAGCGAAAACTAGCCTTGATACGTTTTTGACGGATAGCGCCCGGCGAAGGAAGCTGGCGTTGAATGGTGATCTTGACCATACGAAACAAATGCGCCGAGATGACATACAGGTTCAAGAGCAGACCCTTGACCTCGTGCGGAATCTGATATGTGGGAATGGAGCTCCAGAAATGATTGACTTTCTATTTCAAGAAGTCACAGATCTCTTTGATATTCTTGCCGATAAGCTGCGCCCCCGGCTTCTCCCTAGTTCAAGTCGCAAAGACTCGGCATCCAAAGCGGCATCGGTTCCCACGGAGATCCTCTGTTCGGTAACGTACATTATGATTCATGTCGCTGCGGGATTACCGCGACATCGACAGTTGCTCGCCCAACATCCCGAACTATTGAAACTTATAATGCCTCTCTTCTCGCACGCGAATAAGCAAGTTCGGGTTAATTGCGTATGGGTTGTAATCAATCTTACTTTTGTGGATGACCAATGCGACCACAACTGCTGTCGGGAACGTGCTGCGAAGCTTCGAGACCTTGGTGTTCTAGAAAGACTTGCGAGGCTAGAAGAGGATCCTGAGTCTGATGTGAGGGAACGGACAAAAACGGCATTGCATCTAATGGGGCTATTATTGACTGGCTAGTGATTTCTGATCTTGGTCTACTTTCTTTATATATCCGCTTCAGTCTTCCCTTTTTGACCTCTTATACCCTCTTTCTTAGCGTGCATATTCTGGCTGGCTTCCGCGTTTATGATGATGGGTAACCCTATCGGTTTCTGGAACGATGGGGCTTGAAAAGAAAGGTCTGAGCAAGGCGTGTTGGTAAAAATGAATGTAATAGGGAAGCTATGATTTGGGTCTGGCAGTCAGCATTATACAAGGATTTTGTATGGAGTAATGTTTGTTCGTTCATGTTCTCCGAATTCTGAGGGTGAATTAGTGCCTTTATTCACATACAGTAGTTAACATAAGAATTTCAATTTCAGCTTCAAGAGTAGGGAGGCGATCCATAGCAGAAATTTGTAGGTCCAAGTAACTGTGAATTCACCCTATACAATATGCAATCTGATAGGTAACAACATTCTCACCATCACCCCCCCAAGTCATCATTAGTTGGCTACATACAACGAAGAGCATGGTTCCTGGTCAATCTATTATGAACTCTATCATAAGCAAGTTGTTGGTTACTCCTCAAAGTCCATCATATGAAAACCCTGACTAGTTATAGGTGGTATCATTTTCAACAGCCTGACATCGATCGTCTCATTCATCCATCTCTCTTCAGTGATCTTCTTTCCTATAGGATGGGTAATTCTCAGGAGGAGGCTAGCCATATACAACTGAATCCACCACAATGTAAC